GGCAAATATTTTTCTACCTTTCTTGCTCTCCAAAGTCAAGTTAAAAAAAATCTTAATTCCAAGACATTTCCTTTTACCTCAATTAAACAATGTATACAAGGGGCTGCTTACAAATGAGAACAATACAGTGGCAAACTGGCAGTAAGAATTTCTCTCTTTGTCAAACAAATATTCTAGATATTATATTTGAGTTCACACAAAGCTATGCTGCTTACTGTACAGCCAGACAGTCAGGCAGGATGCATGATGAGTTTCTCCAAAAATAGGCATCCTGAGAATGAGTTCAGTTGCTTCATGTATCAACAAGATCATGGGATCTCCAAAATCCTAACCCAGACACTGAACAAATACCCAATGGCTTCCCCCTAACTCTGAGAAAAATGTTCCTCCTGCAGCAAAGAAATCACAAATACACAAAGCCATGAAACAGAGTATGGACGTGATACAACCCTAACTCTGCCTGTGCAGTAGGAGTGGGAACATCCCCACACTTTGCCACTTCATAACAAAGCCAGAACTTTCCTGGTGGCACCTACTTGGCTGCTGAGGTAAGTTTTCTTGCATAGGGCAACCAGGCTAGCCAAGACATTTCATCCCATCTGCTTTTAATGCTAGCTGAGGCCTTCTAAAGAAGAGGAAAATTGCCTGAATGTTTCCAAGACAACTACATGCAGACATGTGTAGAAGCATGGCACTTCAGCTGATGAAAAGATAGCTCTGTACTGCACAAAAGAAACTCCTCTATTAAAGGTACTGAACCACCATGTATGTAGTAACTGGGTCACAAGAACAGGTCACAACCAGCACACAAAACCAGGCAGGATCAGAAGGCAGAGAGGATCAAATGTTCCTGTGCTGTAGGATGCAGGAACACCACTTCCCGCTGCAGCTCTGTTAGCTGTGATGTGTGTGGCAGCTGGGCTCTGAACACAGGTGACTGAGGCATTCACAGTGACAGCCAAGCTTTCATAGAGCGCTCTAGTGAAACCCTTAACACGCACAGGGAAATGGCCGCATGAGACATTCTCTGAACTGCACCATCGCCCTACCTTTGCTATCAACAGCAGTCTGCTTTATTCCATCAGAGCACTACTGAGCCTACTCTTGTCCATTTTGGCTCCACTCTGCACCACAGTGCTGCCTGGTGGACAGCTCACACAGAGGGGGCTCAGCTGCTGCCCTGCTGCTGACACCCACTTCACACCATGCACAGCTCTAGACTCCCAGGCTCCCTGCCTGCTCCCTGGCAGCACAGTGTCACCTGCATGTTCATCACATACTTATCTGTCACTACAGCTCTGAAAAAACATCTCAATTCACAATCTGACTGAGGGCGGCTTATTCCCATAACAGATTAAAAAAAAAAAAAAAACAATTTAAAAAATCACTATTTCTTTGTCTGCTTACACACCTCTTCATGCCTGGATTGTACCATGAAGTCTTTGCTCATTTGATAGAGGACTTCTTTACGGCACACAAGCTCTTTCATCTTTCCCATGATCAGAACAAGTCAGTGCACCTTTGCTATTTCAGTCTCTTTTAAACTGGGGTGAGCTGAACTTTCTATGCAAAGATTTGACCTCTCCTGAAATCACCTGATCAGCATTTCCCTTGTTCGCTCTTTCATGTTTGAAGTGTTATGAAGCACTGGAAACTCCATTCTTTCATAAGGAAGTTAGTGAGAAAATTCAAATAATCAACTCAGTCTCAGGAGACATGGTGTCTCTTTCCAAGTTTGAAAGCTCCTTCCTAATACAAGTTTTGGTCTTGAAAATCTCCTGGTTAGCAGGCAGCTGATGATACAGCTTCTCTGGAGCCTGATTATACTTTCAGCCCAGGGGCAAGTAATAAAAAATGCTGCCTGGCTCTGTGAGGTCTGAATCAGGTGCTAACACTGAACATCTGCTGGGGCCTCTGCTCTCCCCTACCCTCCCTTCCATGTGCTGGGCATTGAAGAATTCTCCATTTTATAGCTTGTGGCAACAAAAGGCCAATTTAGAGAGAAAGCATTGCTGACAGCTTTATCCAAAAACCCCAGACTCTTCTTTAACTGCTCTCCATTCAGGACATTGGTGAAAGAGCACCATGACATACTGAAGAGATCCACATTGTATGGCAGCCTTTGGAAGCAGTTAGCAGCAAAGCACTCACAGCCCCACTCCAGCAAGACAGACAGATTCTAGGACACATTTATTACTTCATACAACCAGATCACGTACTGTACAAAAATTAACAGTGCCACCCAAGAGGGCCTTCACAGATGTTTAGAAAACATGTAAACACAGCTCTAAAACATGTTTTTTATGTAATCTAGGTACAACTATTGAAGCACCACCTATTGTGTGTGCGTATCCCCACGTGTGTGGACGATCTCCATACCCCAACAGGCACAGATTGAACAGTGTCACAGCAGGCTGTGGACATGCTCGTACATTGCTCTCCATGAAATCCAATATGCTTACAAAAGGCTTTCCACCAGTGGGACATGAACTGGTCTTACTTTGAGCCATAAACTCATCCTCTGGGCCTTGAGCTGCTGCCACTGTTGGCTGCCCTTCCTTCCTGGGTTGCTCCTTGTTGCATCCAATGCTGGCTCCCCTGGAGTTAATAACCCAGTCTCCAAGTACACCAGGTGGGTGTGCCAGCATGACTTGGTAAAGATGAAAGGGTCAGCAAGCAAGGACAGCTCCCTTTCCTGAAATGTCTCAGCAGGGAAGGGATGGTCTTGGTCTTCTGGGGTGCCCAATCTAGTAGGCCCCAAGTCACAGCAATAATGCTGGGCACAACCATCAGAAACATCTACTGCCTGAAAACTTCCACTTTTCTGTTCTGCAGCTGTAAAGGATGAATGGACTTGTACAGTAAAAACATTTCTGGGGTAGAAACCATGACCTTTAGAGAAAAAGACTGCAGCACCTGAATAATTCCTACTAAAGGGAATGCCCAGTACAGTGAATTCTGCTTAATAGCCAAGAGGGAAGTTTAATGCCTTAAGGTAGAAGGTTCATCAAAGAGCTAATGACTGACATTTACACCAAGTGCTGTGCTTTCATCAGCAGGAAGGTCACTGCTGCTTGCAATGTGAAACTGAGCAAACTGGTACATAGACCCTACTAAGCAGCAACTGCTGAATCTCAGCACCTCTCTTGGACAGCTGAGTAGGGCTGTTACTGGCATTCATGTCAACTCCCTTCTACATCTTGGTTGTGTAGATTAAGCTCCTTGGGCAGCAATGGCCTCTTTAGTGAGAGATCCCATAGTGCTAATCTGGCATTGGTCACAAAAGATTCATGTAGCTTTACTAATTTCTACTGCAGTCAAACAAACAAACAAAGAACAACTGTAGCAGCCTACAGCTTCATATGGAAAAAAATGAGTCTATAGCAATATTTTCAGAGCTTTCTCTCTAAAAAGGTCCAGTTATTCCCCAGGAAGAATTATAGAACTATTAAGGTTGGAAAAGACCTCTCAGATCATCATATCTGACCATTAAGCCAGCACTGACATGTTCAATACTAAGCCATGTCCCCGAGTGCCATATCTACACATTTTTAAACACTTCCAGGGATGGTGATTTTTACCACTTCCCTGAGCAAACTGAGTATGTGATATAAGGTTTTTGCCTTAGTGGTTATCATGTCATGGCCCAAGAGACCAGTGTTCTGAATTACTGACATTATTGGGAACTTCTGTGAAGTAACAAAAAGGAACAAATAAGGATATATTTATATTCCCATTCAATAAGAGGTGCTGTGTGTTTCTTACTCCAGTTCACTACATCTGTCTGTGCCACCAGGAGCCTCAGCAGAGAGCTGATGGGTTGAATACCTGCAAAGCTGCAGGGCAATTCACATCAACCAAGATACTTAAGGCCTAGCTCACAACATCACAAAAAACTTGAGAGCTTGCATATTTCTCTGTAAATCTGGTTGTTTGACCACTCCTCCACATTCCTACTGCAGGAAACCTCCATGTGCCAGGCTCACAGGCTGAGTCTGTGAAAAGCTCATATAGTCAGTGTGACAGGTATACTCTAGAGAGGATTTCTCATGCTAGACTTTAGAACCCTTCTCATCACTGCACTTGTATGAGGGAAGGGAAGAAACAGTTAAGAACATAAATGAGATCATACAGATTATTTTCTAAATATTACTAAAGCAGTAATATTTATACATTTTTAAGAAATCTTCACCAAAAAAAATAAAATTAAGCATGAACAGTTCTACAACATAAACAGGTACAAGTCTCATTGCCTAGTAATGCTAGGAAAATGTTCATATCTAATCAGAAGTGGAAGTTCACAGCCAGTTGTTTTAAGGACAGTCTTATGTTTTAAATACAGCCTTGATATTAGTGTCTTTACTGTATTAAACTCTTAGTACTAAAATAATAATAATAGTAATAACAATTACATTTAGATAGCACAGACAAAGCACAAGAGAGTATATAAGCATAAAAGTGCAAGTCATAACCTAAGTCAAAGTGCCTACTGGTCAAACAGGTTCAAACTATGTTCAGAGAACAAGCATAAACCAGACTGAGAACAATCCATGCCTTTTTCTTTCGCTCTCATTTCCATCAGAAGTCATTGCAGGTAACACTGGTAACAGTCTAAAGTGACATTAATTCCAAATAGAAGTACACGAGAGGAGAGTCAGGCCCATGTCTTGATGGAAAACTGATTCTCATTTCCTCTCTGTAATGCCAATTAATCCACAGGTTTTGCTCTGAATATCTGAGCACAGAGAGAAAGAATAATAACTTGGATGCCACATTCAAGGGAGGCAGAAGCAGCACTTAAGAGCAGGGGGTACAGCAAGCCCTTGTCTGTTCTTCTGGAGTCACATGCCCCAGCTGATTTATTGACTCCAGTCATAAAAAATGACTAGGAGGAAGTTAAGTAACACTGCTCTTCATTTGAAAAACAAAAAGACTACCCTCAGAAGTATGATTTTTCCCTTACCGTTTGTCTTACTTTTCTACTTCAGAGATAAAATACCTTTTACAATATCAGCTCATTATTCTGTTCATTCCCTTTAAAGGCAAATAGCTTAAAAGATCCTGTCACCAGAAATGGGTGGGATGAGGGCAGAGGCAGACCTTTTATTAAACCTTTAAAAAGATTTCTAACTCATTTTGAAAGTGAGAACAACAAAAACCATAAAACTCCAGCAAAGGAAAGCTGTCACTGAGATTAAGCAGATCCAAACTCCGCCATCCATTTTTCGTACTTCTCCAGGTCTGCAGCAGAAACAGATTTGGAGATTTTCTTCAGAGCCAGCTCAAAGTCCCCCTTGGTAACCGGCATCTGAAGCTCTTCTTTAGAAAGTGCACGAATCTCTTCTGGAGTTAAGCCATTAATACGTCTTCTCATTGCCATTAAAGATGCATCCCTGGAAACACAGGACAATGCATGGGAGCTAATTGCTAGCAGAATGTGCTGTAAGCCTATGAATTTTGATTGTATACTCTTGCTAGAAACCACTGGCAGGAACACTTAAGAGAGCATTTATTTAGCATAGAAGATGCAGTTCACATCTTTCGTAGCTTCCATGTTCCCAGATCACTACATTAATTCAACATAAAGAATGCATTGGCACCAAAACCCATTTAAGCATATGGTAAATGTGCAGAGATAATTAAAACTATAAAACTGAAAACCTTTTACAGTGATTCATGGAGATGAAATTTTACAACTTTGGACAAGAAAAGGGCAGGGTGGGAGACAAACTCAAAGACTTTTTTTTTAAAAGTAGTCTGTATTTTATACTGCATTCATTTTAGACTTCAACTTTCTCCCTGCAGCATAGCCCCAAAGGACAGTCAGCAAGGGTTAAGAGTGCAACCCAGCTTGGCTGCCGGATTGTCCATAGCACCTGGATGTGTGAAGGGCAGAGCAGGAGGCATGAGAGGCAGCATCACATGGCCCTGCAGTGCTGAGGCCATCAGTGCCTGTGGCTCCTCATGCTCTGTCTGCTCTGTGACTCCTGCCCAGCTCAGATCCTGTCAGCCTGGCCCATCAGCTTGAAGAACACTGCCCATTTTCTCACACCGTGGCCCACAGGCAGTCTGGAATTACATTTCTCTTTCCCCAGGTTTTTCCCAGCAAGGGATAACACAAGCCTTAGGGAGAGCAGGTAATTTTGCTACTACGTGACACACGCTGAGTTTTCAAATACATGGAGTGATTTCACATTTTCAGAAAGGCAGCAGGGGAAAAAGAAAAAAGATTCCCAAGCCATGTTCTTACAGGATCAGTTTCTCTTGACAAGATTCTTAAGGGACACAGACTTCCTTCAGAAAAGTTTCTTCAAATACCTATCCTTCACCAGAAAAGACTGATTTGTAAAAAATGAAACAAATTTTGGGAACAGGATGCAAATAAATTAAATACTGATATTATAATCTATATCTCCCTTGCACCTAGAAGATTCAGGCAGACACCAAGACTCTGCTGCACTGGAGGCTGTGCAAATATCCAACATACAGAATTCCCAAAGAAGTATTCTGTGAGAGGAATTTTTTGGATTACAGAATTCTAGCTCTTAAACTAATAAGACTTAAAAACCCCAAACCAATCTGCTTTGCACTGCATTAACAAATGCAGACAGCTCCAGTAAATGCAGCCAATTGTAACACAAGATTTGCTCAGATAATTTTTTTTCACTTCAGATCCAGGAAAACCACATCTTACAGAAAGCCTTCATGGTCTTTGGACCACTCCACATGACAGTAATATGTGAATACAGTAAATACATTTGGGCCTCAAACACAGACACTGTGAGCATGGCTTCAGCTGTAGTGGGTATTGCTTTTTATCATATAATGCAAATGATGACTTTCCACAAAGCTCTATTTGCAAATTAAGGGCAATGAAATACCTGCAAACATTAGTGATGTCAGCACCAGAATAGCCTTCAATCTTCTCAGCAATTTCTTCAAGGCTGATATCAGGATCTAGTTCTACTTCCCGAAGATTAATCTTAAGTAGTTCTGCTCTGCCTTTTGCTAGAATGTAAAAATATTTGTTTGAAGACTGGCAAGAGTTACATTAAAAAAAGATGTAAACACAACTTAGATTTTTCAGTGAAAAGTATGATCAAAAGAGTTCAATATAAGAAAAGAGAGAGAAAAAGTCGTAGTGAAGTGTGCAATCAAATACAGTAAAGTATTTGGTTAAATGCAGTATATTAAAACAGCATGGTTGAGAGATATTTGTCAAAGTGATCTGTCATTAAAAACGTCTGTTATGTCTCAGGTGATAAAGCATTTGGTCACATATTACCCAATGGCACAAAGGCACAATCCCATAAATGTCTGTTTCTTCTCACATCCCTTTGGATCCACTCCCTATTCAAGGGTTTGACTGCATATTATTCATAGAGTGTCATTAGAACTACAATAAGGATTCTATTAAAAGAGCTTCAGATGGCACAAACCCCTTAACAACAGGCTGAACTTTAAGCATATGTTTAAGCACTTTACTCAGTTGGGACTCAAGAAATCAGCTGAAGCCTGATAGAAAACAGACACATTAATACAATAAACATATATTAATATATTTTCAATACTAATGTCCTGGTATCCCACTTTCCCACCCAGATGCAGCATGTGCACAGTGATAAGCAGCTGTGTAAATGAGCACTTATGCAGCCAATTAACCATTTCTCTTGCAGAGGGCATGTGCATCTGTGCATTTGGGTACATATGTTAAGCAGCCTAAGCTTGTAAGAGGGAATTCACATTTGACAGCTTAGGTCTCCATGTTATTCTGCACAACGGTGGGAAAGAAGAGGATGACTGGTTTCCTGGCTTTCACTGTGCAGGAAAAATACACCAGCTCAGCATTTTTGTTCCCCAAGTGATCAATTTTTATGACCTATAAAAAAGGACAACCACAACAGATGAAGTAGGAAAGGCTAAAAGTCTTCAAGAAATGTCCAATAAAACACATTATGTTTTATTCATTGATGTCCTTAATTCTTTTTTTTTTTTAACTTTTGAGGAAGGAGAAATACAAAAGAAAATAGAAAGCTTGTCTAGAGCTCCTGGTTTTGTGTGCTTTGCAGAACTGTCAAGAGCACAGTTATCCATCACACACAACTGGCACTAGCTATAAAACGGGGATTTATTATTTAGAGAGCACAATGTACACACAGCATACCTGCAGTGAGTATCCTGCATCAGGGAACATTCTTCTAATTGTTGCTGTGGGGCTAAGCAAGTCCGTGCAGCATTTTGAAAATTAAACACTACAGAATATATGCTTGCATCAAATTCCACAATATACAGGTGTATATATGCTACCATACCACTTTTTCAGTTCAAATGCCTGACTACATCAAATCACACATCACAGTTATAAAAGCATCACTCAGACTTGCCCAGAGCAGCACAACATTCTTACTTGTGGAATAGATACAACAGAAACTAAGACTGGAAATAAAACCAGATCACAACTTCTATGTTGTCCAGGGTGTAATACACTGTGTTAAAAAACAATCTGGTTTAATTAGAAACAAGAGGAAGAGCTGATAAGATTTTAAACTAATTGGTCATAAAGACAGGCATCCTATTAGGAGCTGCTACTGCCTGTAAGCTGCAAAGACAAGCTGTAGAACTATTAAGTGTCCTTAGACCTGCTAAACTCAATCACAACCACTGTCACCACGGACATGCATCTTGTTATCTTGAGTGCTCATGCAGGGAGATGAGGCATCCCCTGTACCATGAAGAGACAGAGCTATGCAAACTTCAAGTGATAGGAATCTCAAAATTAATAGGACAGGTGAATGACAGCTAGAAAAGACAATACAAGCTGAGATGTCTTAGGGCAGGAAAGCAATCAGCCTGCTGCATTCTGAGTGACTGGAAGCACAGTAATAAAGGCAAGCAAGCAGTGATTTGCAATGAACTAAGCCTGTAAGTGAAAATTCATGGATCCACTTCTTTCCATTTGTCTGCAAGGGCATGGAGTGCATTTGCAATATTTGTGAACATGTCCAAAGGCTGCCTTTGATGATCACTCAAGGACTGACTGTTAAACATTTAAAATAATTCCAGGCTCATTAAAACTAACTCTCTTTCAAAATATAAGAACCCATCAATAGCTTGAAATGAAACGCCACAGCTCTTTGTTTTTCAGCCCCCAAGCAAGCAGTATTTTTCTTTTTCTCACTCTTTAAAAATAAAGCGATCCAGACAAATGATTAACCCCTGAATTACACTGCTCATCAAAAACCATCAGGGTTTCTCACAACAGTCCTGCAGTAATCCTAAACTCATCTTGTAAAGAGAGGAAAGGAAAATGGCCTTATCAAACATACCTGTGGGCAAAGGTATATAAATCCTCTTCTCCAGTCTCCGTCGGAGAGCTTCGTCAATGTCCCAGGGAAAATTTGTAGCAGATAATACCATAACCATCTTGGAAGGGTCATCATTTTCCAGTGCACCACCTACCCCTGCAAGCACAACAGTTCAGAGCCATTTTAATCCAGAGCTCTTATTAATTGAGATGCTTGCTGAGAAACACTGCACAAACAAACATAGCCTGGACAAAGCTAAGTAATAGATCTCTATAGTCCTGTATCCCTTTCCAAACTTTCCATAGCTAGGTGTCACAAGACCATCATTATCAATGAAGGAGAGACAGTTCATTATTTTGCTGAGTCAGGAGAGAGCTTTCTTTGGCAGTGCTAATAAAAGAGCCATATGTAAGTGTAGCCCTACTAGTCCCACTGACAGTGCTATCTCTGTCGAGTCTGGTCATAGAAGAAATAGGAGTCACTCAGCTTACCAAGTGAGGACTGCAAAGAGATCAAAAGCTTTCCTATCCTGAGCTTACCACAATGAACCTGCAAATTTGAGAACATTTTAAATAGTAGTTTATATACAGTAGTTTATGCAGCAGTTTATGACAGCTGCAATATAAAGGTGGCTATCAAACCTCTACACCATACAATATTCCTCAGATGGTCATGCTTGTTGTGTGCACCTGCACAAAACAGGTACTACGTCTGACTTAAAAGGGTAATATTAGCTGCCATCATAGACCAGAGCAAAAGCAGATCTCACAATGGGGTTCCACAGTTGGAGACTCTAGCAAAGGGCAGAATTTTGTTTAAACTGAATACAAATTAAATACCTGCATTAAACTGCACAAATGTCCATTATCTGCTTCTCCTGGAGTCTGTGTCTATTTAATATGACCTTTCAAGTCCCCCTAAAAATAGCCATTTTAGAAAAAATAAAGTAGAACATCCTTTTCAGTTATCTGTTGTTCAACACTCCAAAAATACACTCATCTCAAGTTCTGCCTCATTTTTCTCTTATCTCTAAAGCCAGGTTTTCCAGATGGCTCAAGTTCTTACATTCCCACCTGTAAAGAAACAGAATCCCAGCCCCAAAGCCAGATCTAAGCATTTGTTACCATCCATTTGCACAAGCAGCTCTGACTTGACTCTGCGACTGGCCTCGTGTTCATCAGACGTGCCTCTGCGGCTGCAGATGGAATCTATCTCGTCAATGAAGATGGTTGTTGGTGCATAAAACCGTGCCTTTATTCAAATGAAAACATCACTATTAAGGCTGCTCAGCAAGCACAGGCCCTCATCAGACCACAACCCAGCCCTTCTAGACATACTGCATACATATCTTCCCTGACTGTCACAAGAGAGGAATTCAAGACCTTGATTTACAAACTGTCATATGCTGAGGTTTATACACTTTAAATTGTACTCCTTGGGTGAGTGTTGGTTGGCTTTCCCCAGCAAATGACATTGAAAAGGGGAAAAGAAACACTACCACAACAGGATAGTTTTGTTGACACAACACAGGCAGTTTTCATGTCCATGTTTTGGGCTGGTGAGGGTTAAGCATAAGCGAGAGTGCAGTGAGGGTCCCACAGGTATAGTCCACATGGACATGTCCTTCACACACCTTGCATGACAGACTGCACCTACAGCTTCTCTGAGAGGCTTGTGACCATCATTCAGAACAAAACCAGCACTAAAGTATGTATTGCTTCTAGAAAAACTGTTCCAAATCCCTTCCAATTTCAATTCTACTTCATATGGGATTGCTACCCCCTAACCAAACAAATACTGAGTTTCTGTTGAGGTGACAACTCTCTATTGAGTCTGGAAAATGCTATCCTAAACATGGGTGATGAACCACTTCCTTCTTAATCCTCAATAACATACCATATGTGGAAACCCAGAAATTATGGTTTTTTCTAATTGGTTGAGGGGGTGTCAGTTCAGTGAACTCCATGCTTCCAACATGCTACTGGAAGGGCAGGAAACCAGGAGTGCTGTCCTTTCTCACCTTAATGAGCCCCAGATCACCTCATCGAGGACATACCATTTCAAACAAGAGACGAACCAGCTTCTCAGACTCGCCTCTGTATTTAGATGTCAGTGTAGAGGAAGACACGTTGAAGAATGTTGTCCCACATTCTGTAGCAACAGCTTTTGCTAGCATTGTTTTGCCAGTGCCAGGAGGACCAACCATCAGCACACCCTGAAAGGTGAGAACAAAGGTAATGAACAACAAAGTAAGAAAACTTTGCCATTGGTTCTCTGCACAACATCTCGAAATGAGTCAAGATCTGTATTTAAATTAATAACATAATTCTCATCAGTGGAAAACAGAAGACAAGTATCCTTCTTTCGAGGACAGTGTGGAAGTATTCTGCCATTTCCTCTTACCACTCCACTAGAGTCAGAACTACAAAAGCCAGTAACCTGCTTGCACCTAACATCTAGGAAATGGACAAGAGATTTATAGCCTTGCTCAGAATCAAACAGAGTTTAGGCTTGAATTTAGGCCTTTCTCAGCTCACAAGGGGCTGCACAGGCAGATGAAGACAGTAAATTCTTTTTTTTGGAACAAAGGCCCCTTCAGAAGAAAGTTTCACAGAAACCAAAATACTTTCACAGTAAGTTGTGTTCCCTCAGTAGAGAAATTTTCTACAGAAAAACATTTTTCCAAAATATCCTGACAATATGTATGAATCTGGTTGATGTTTACATTTGCATGAGAGCATTCACTGAATACATCAGTTTGATTTTTGTTTAATCTCCCAGTCTCAATGTTCCTATGACCACACTACTGCATCACAAAAATTCCTGGATGAAACACCATCCTCATCATGCTGTTGGATGACTGGACTGCACTGCTATTCCTGTTTTACAGATAAGCAACTGTGGTTCATGTGGACTGCTGCTTAGTCCCACAAAAGCCTAATTTGAACTTCAGTGATTATTCAGAAAGCTTTAAACTAGAAATAATTTTAAGTCCCTGTTTGGTATCCACATCATCAGACTATCTTCCCGTCTGTGGGCTCTAAAAGAAAGAAGCACAGGTGTCTGCAGCTCAGCACATTTACCCATCATTACATAAACAGGTTTTTGGCTTTACACACAGTGCTCTCAGAACCCATGTTAAGATTGTATCACTAAGATAGGTTAATCACTCTTGATAATAATACTAAATACAGCCATCTTTATGGGTAGTCTTTCCAACGCTTTAAGCAGCAGTGCTGGAGAAGGACAAAACACTGTTCCATGTTCTGCAGAGTACTAGTATAGGACCCTGTGATTTTAAGTAAATCAGTGAAAATGTAGTGGTCAAGCATCTTGGGTTTTTTTTCCCCTCCCAACTGCAAGATCTTATTACATGCTAACAAGAGTTTCCTAAAATTGTACTGTATTGCAGGGCTAATCAAATTAGCTAGAGTTAGAATTGCACATCATAATGTGCTTTGCAATTAATAACTTACATAAAATGCCATAGCAATAAAATAACAGTTAAATGCAAGCCATATAGCAAATTAGATTTCATCTGTTCCTCACAAAAATTTACTTCAAAAAGCACAAAGAATGATATGGAAGAGATCTATAAAAACAAATCAACCGGGAATGCAATTATTCAAAAATGTACCATTCAAAAGCAATAGTCTCTCTGTACTCCATTTTCCATTAACTCTTAATACCTTTATTGCCATTTAATACTTAGCTAATGCAAGTTCAACATACATTCATCGGTAAATTAAGTCAGAAATGTTCACACACCATCTCTACAGCTAACAGTCCAAAGTCACTCCTTAGGCTGCCCAAGGTTTCCTATGCTCCAGAGCAGCAAGCATAAAACGTAAATGGACTCTACTTTTTCCCTGTGAACACTCAGACATTCCAGTCTGAGATGCTGCACAGTTATACTGATATTACAACAATATTGCATATACAGCTCTGGAGTGACTGTGAAAATTACTCAGCCTGTAATTTGCAGGTCAGAGATGACTTACTGTTCTGTCTGAGCTTCAAATGTGTTCATTTAATATTTTTTAAAAAGCTTCACTTCAATTCAAATCTCATTCAAAGCATGTGTTTGATAAACTGTGTTTAGTGCAGGAGCTGGTGATAGAGGGAAGTAATGACATTTTTGGGATATTGGTTCAAGTCTCCATTATTCTGGAAGGTCTAATCCTGGCTTCAGGTACACATGCTGTACACTGCCAAAATTGATGCCCGTCCGTCGCTTTGCACCTCCTGCTAAGTATTACAGGAAGCGTTACCTTGCACGTGAAACTGGTGCCATTATCCATCTGCATAACACAGGTGCAAAGCAGCCACACCAGGTGCAAAGTGAGGGGAAAATCAAGCTCTCTCGGGACAGAGACAATAGAAATATCAGTTAAAAAATAAAACAACAACAACAACAACAAAAACAAAAACAAAAAAAACTTGAGTTGGAAGCAAAACAAGATGTGCATGGCTGCAAAGAGAAACACATAGGATCAAGTTGCTCTTTCTGCAAACTAGGAGGCTGCCACTTACTATTTAAAATCCTTGACAAACACAAAGACTTCTTTATTCTTCCTCTAAGGCTCTATTAATCCAAAGTATTCCAATAAGAAGCTGAAATGCACTGCAGGGAGTAAGTGTTTTGATGAAATCACTGCAGGGTTACTTCTTGTTGTTGTAACAATCACTAGCAGAGCAGTGGGAATCACAGTGAGCAACCAGGCTTTCTTGGCAGAAAACAGTTCAGAGAAACAGAAAGAGAAAAACCCATGGACACTCAGAAACCCATGGCTGCAACTACACAGCACCTGTGTTGAATCAGGGAAGACAGCTGGCTCCTTTAGACAAGGCACAGTTCTCTGAATACAGGCACAAACTGTGAGGGCTGTCTTGGGAATTGTTCTCAGGGGAGTCTGAACATCCAAAACCAGCTTCAGCTGCCTTTTTCCCTGAATTATTGTCTTGAATTCCTAGGCTCAACAAATGCCTGCTGCTACACTGATTACTGCAAGAAACAGCCTTCCCTTCAATACTTCTCATCCTTATAGCACAGTCAGAGGTCAACAGTAGGGAAAATACATGCTGTTCTGTGTGAAAAATAAATTCATGAGAGTTACAGCTTCACAAGTCACCAGGGAAAAGGCTAACAATGAAGACTCTTCATAGCCTTGTCAGAAATCAATTTGCATTTCAGACTGAAGAGAGGAAATAATCTTAGAATCTTTTCTATGTCTACAACCACCTGGTTTTCAGAGTTGACACTGCTCAGTAGGAAAAGGTAGTCTCATGCAAAGAGATGGAGATTGAAAACTCTTTAAATGACCAAGCTGTTGCTTCTTCATCCACTGCCACAACACTTGGAGACAAGGCCAGCGGCATTTTTCACATTTCTTGCAGTCTGCTGAAATACCTGCCTTAAACACAGATGGCCACTACATCCTCTATGCATGCTAAGAGGTGAAAAAAAAGCAGAGCAGATCTTTACTCCATTAGAAGATTTTGAATGCTAGACAGATGGGGCCCCCATAGTCTGTAATAAGAGTATGGATCAACTTCCTCTAAGCCAAGAAGAGAAGAAAGAGATTCAGCTGTTCAAAATAAAATCTCAGCCTGCACATGCAACCCACAACACCTAGGTTCTGTCTAAGACGACAGCTCAGTTAACCCTAAGGTTAACCACAAGATCACTGGCACTAACTGTGGGTACAGAGGAGCCCGCCAAGCCCGAGATCCTGGATCTCTCCGGGAGGCAAAACACCTTTTAGTCAGAGAGAGACAATGTATCGCTCCCAGGAGTCTTTGAGTTAGATATGTTAAACTGTTGTGTTTCATTGGTGTTCCCCCCTCCTGTCCCACCCCGATACAGGCATCTCGGGCTTCCCCCCGCCCCTCTCCTTCTCCATAAATATCCCGGGTTTTCCCCTGTTTGGTGGATTCGCTGTTGCCGGCACCCTTCGCCGAAGCTCTGCCTGAATAAAGGCTTGTTCCTCGGTGGAACGCTGGACCAGCTATCTCGTCCCTGCTTCCTGTGTTGCCTGCCCGCCGCCGCCGCTGCTGAGCTGAGCTGAAATCACTTGACTATTGCTGAGCTGAGCTGGAATCACTCGACTGCTCGAAGCTGCTCACGCGCTTCAACCCAGCCTTTCTCAAGGCTGTCTCTAGAGAAGCCGCGGTGCTCCGGGCTTTCCGTCGCCGCGGCACTAACCACAAGCACTTCAACTCCACAGGTCTGATAGCCTGGTGCTAGGTTTGCACTGACTACGTGTTTGGGCTCTGTTCCTGCAACTCACTAAAGCCTCTGTGAATTCCTCAAGCAGCAATCTCCCAGCTCCTGCTGGGTCTGACCTAAGTTTAAGCTAGGGAAGCACAAGGACCAATCAGGAAAAGACAATACAAGTGGTAGTAGAGCAAAATCCAATACATGCTGCTGAACCAGCATACTAAACAGGAAACTACTCACATACACAGCATTCCCCTACACATGCCACTGCCTTCCACACTCAGAATAACAGACAATTTGCAATTGTCTCTTTTCCCCAGTAATGCTTCTCAGTAACTTAAAGGACTTTGTGTTGTGACTAGTTATTCCCCAAACAAGTGTCAGTCCAACACACATCAGAAGAAAGATAATTTTGTTTGCTGTTTACAGAAATGCTCGCCAAACTCCACGCTCATCTTCCTTCTTAGCTCTAAACAAGACCGAGATTGGGCTCACCTCTGGTCGATCAGCCTAGCTCAGTCCTGTATCCTTCCTGTTGCCTTGCTTGCAACTCCTTCTACTCTGAATTTCTCACTCCAGCTGCAACTATGCCCAGCTGCAAATGTAACTGCAAAGCTAAGTCACCAGACTGGCCCCCTATTTCCTTGCTTCCTTGTACAATGCAGGCTGCAGTTTGAAGTCTGAGTGAGAGATAGTTGAAACATTTGGAAAAAAACAGTCCAAGGACTGCTTTTTTCTGGGAAGTGATGACAACTGGACACCATAAGCCTATGTAGAGCTGTCTATTAAGTATTTCTGCTTCAGTCGATATAATCACTGTACTCACATCTACAGGCTGGCCTATAGAAAGTATTACAATAGCAACAAGCTATAAGTGAGTAAATAAACAGAAAATACTGTTTACTCTAAGGGCCAGATACACTTCCAGCTGTTTCTTTCAGTGCCTTTTACATGAATCATTATGACAGGATTTAATAAACAAATTAATGATCTTTCCCATTTACCTTTTTAGCCTTTCCTACAGGCATCCACACGTTACAGCAGGAGACACACACAGATAAAGCTTGCCATTTACTAAAACACCATATAAATTCTCACCTTCCAAGGTCTTCTGATCCCTTTAAAAAAATCAGGCATCCACATTGGAAGAACAACAGCTTCTCTTAATAATTTCTTGGCTTCTTCCAAATCTGCTATGTCATCCCTGTGCAAGATGAAGAAGCTTGTATAAGATTCTCATACAACTGTATTTCTTCTATTTTTATACAAGAGAAGTTGAAAAGCTTTTCACTTAGTACCATTTCTTTCAGCATGCAAGCATATGCCTCATGAGAGCATTCCTATCATATTGTGACTTAAAATTGAATCCACTTTTGGAAGACAGGGAAAAAATTATTTTCAACTCAAGTTACCCAGAGCTGCTTAATTAAAAATTGTTTTGGACAATGTGAACACCAAAGCGGTATCTTTAAAGATCTCTGGAGCATATGTTCATTTCAGCAGTACCTGTAATGGATGTACTGCACATATCAATTAGCAATAAAAGCTTAACTTTAATCAAATTAATAAACTGTTAAAGCAAAAGATCTCATTTTTGCCTATCTGTAGAAGATTATGTTGTCTCCCTATTTTAGGAGTTCAAAGATGGGTAATTTCTCTCCTTTTCCATGCTAGCAAAAACACTTGATTTGAGAAAATTCTCATACCAATGAATGCTTGGATTCCTTGATACAATGTCCCTTTCAAGAGCTTCGATCAGGTCTTTGTCGTAACCTGCTCCATCAAATTTTGGAATTTCCCCATCACCAAATTCCTGGGGTATTTTCTTTCCCTAGAAGTGAAAACCATACAGGCTCATAAGAATTACACAACTGACACACTTCCTCGCCAACCAAAGGCATGAATGCAGGAACAGCCTCACAAAGGTGGCTGTATCACAACTTAATGCTACATTAAGTCCTAGCTGAAGACCAGAGCATCCAAAGCATATTTTGAAGATGCTACACTTGCACTCTACCTGTCAGGAATAAACATCTGAGACTACCACCACCAAAAAGGAACAGGGAAACAGTCACACACAGTCTTTGATGGAGTAAAATCAAGATTCTCTCCCCTCTTTTCATTAAAGCCTTCCTGCTCAGCAATACCTACTTTCCACAACTACAAACTATGTCTGCCTCTCATTCACTGGCCAGCTTCACAAACAATTAAAATACTTTTAAAAGGTCATATTTATTTAAGGACTCCACTAAAAGCCCTGAAGGAGCTCCAAAGACACCCAGTCTTCTTAGACTACGGTAACTTCAGCAGCACACCAATGCTACATCAGTGACCAGGCTACACCCTGCCTCTGCCCCTAATGGCCCAGAGTTCCTGGTTAATACTGCCACAATGCCGTTCAGCTTTTGGGGGTGAAGTTACATTTTCCCTTTGAAGGATCAGGGCTCACGCTCCTCCTCTCTCAGTTCTGAAGGAAATCGCTTCCCCTCCCAGCATTCAGGGTGCCTGAAAAGCAGCTGCGCTGGTTTAACGGAGGAGGCTGAGTAGGGAGCTACTTTAGGACTCTTAGCTCAGCTTCTAAACACTACCAGGAGCAAGTTAAGGAATCCCAGCTGGCTGGACAAAAGCATCCTAGACGAAGGCGGGTTGAGAGGCAGCTGGAGACACAAATAACCTCGCAGTGGAAAAACAAAAAGGTAGCGATTACACCCCTCCCAGTTGCCGTTTGCCCACGATGACTTGTGAGGGAGTAGTTTGTCTTCCCACTACTTTTATTTCTTGCTTCCAAGCGAACTCTTGTGTTGTTTATTACCCCTAACTCAGCTTTTTGCAAAGGAAACGAAGCTCAGAGTTGTGTTTAAGCAAAAAGCTGGCGTAAAAAATGTAGTGGTCTGGTGTAAAAAGGAAACGGCAAAAGACACCCTGTGGAGTTTTCAAGATTCCAGGAGCGATAAAATGGAATCCAAATGTAACCATTAAAAAAAAAAACAAAAACCAAAAACCAAAAAAAACAGGACAAAGAAATGAAAGGTGTTTGCTGTCTGTTACATACTCCTCTTGCTCTGCAATGGACTGGCTTTCCTAGTAGAAAAAATTTTCTGCACATCACAGAACAATTGGTATATCTTGTTGCGGTTGGGTTTTGTTTTTTGTCCTGAGTGAAACCGCGTTAGGGCAGGACTTGAAAGGACTTGAAGGGCAGGAGCAGGAGCAGGGGCAGGAGGGCGGCTGGCTGCAGCACGCTGGGGCACGGGCAGCCCCGGGAGTCCCGAGCCCGGCGGGCAGACCGCGCACCGCGGCGCAGCTCAGCCCAGCGGGCCGGAACAGAAATCCAAGGGAAAAGGAAGGCCCGGGGCAGGAGGGTGTCGGCAGCCCCGGCGCGGCCGCGGGGCGGCAGCACGGCCCCGATCCCGGCCCCGATCCCGATCCTGCGGGACGTGCTGTGCCAGGGACCGCTGCTTCTCCTGCCCCTGCGGCACGTCTCGCCAGAAGAACGATGGAGAAGGGCGGCCAGCGGGCAGACGTGCTGTCAGCATCATATCGCATCATACAACGCTGTCATTGTAGCGTTGTAGTGACACTGAATTTTTATCTTTTTTTCTTTTTTTTCTTTTATTTTTTTTTCCCAGTTCCGGAGTTAAACCAAGATTTAAAGTAGTTGTAGTTTTCACAAGTAATAAGATTATTAATGCTAGTCCCAAATCGATCCAACCTGCAATTCTCCATCAGCAGGTAAGTGAGCATACACCAGAAATAATGATTTTTTAAAAATGTCACCTGAAACTAGGCAGCAGAAATAAGCATAATTTTTCCAGTAATCTCTTTGGGTATTACTTTAACAAAACAGCTTTAAATAAAATTGTTGTGATGACATCTTTCTAAGAAGGTATGCCAACAGATCAAGGTATACTGTGCTGCAAAAGACTGCTCCCACCCTTGGCAATCCCATCTCATAATTTCAGGTAACCAATATCTGTCTTAAACATTCAGAAATCAGCTGTCCTTTCCATCAGGAAGAGCTATTAGACCTGCACTAACACACTGGAACAACAAGCTTGTTTCCAAAATTGATGTTATTTCTTCTCTTGTACTAAGTTTCTACATTAGTTTCAGCAGTTTGCTCCTTGGTGTGTCCACCACACTAATATACTTGCATCAGGCTTGCATTCTGTCTTCATTTACCAAACCAAGTAAGTCTCCTTTTGGAACATAAGCTGAACATAATTACCCATTCACTTTGGCAACACTTTTTTTTTTCTCTCCCTCCTAATGTTAGCGTATCTTTCTTGGGCACGGTTGAACACAAAATACTCCAGATGTTTTCTCACCAGATCCTTCTACAATGGCACAGGTATCTCTCCTCTCTGCTGCTAACACCTCAAGAATCTGGGATTTTGTTTACTGGGATTTTGTTTACATTCACATCCATAGCATTATCATACTGCCTCCTTTAAGGCAACTTCAGCAGATTAATCACATAGAATAACCCTGAGGGCCATAATTGCCAGAACTGGACTCCTTGCATTCCTGTAGGTTCTTCCCATTGCATACAAATGCCAAATAACAACTGCCACGGGCATTCTCCATCTCTCACTGCCAAAGCCAAAGGTGGCACCTGCTTGTGCCTCACCCCAGCAGCCAGCCCTTCCACACCAGGAAAAGGTAATGAGCCAAATGGAAGTTCAGCCTGATCCAGTTTCTGGATACATCCAAATCCATCTTCTCCTCTACTGCTGAGTTCCCAGCTTCTAGCAGAAGTTCTTTTTATAATTTCCAAGAACACAACTTGCTGCTCTGTACTGCTGAACATTATCCCATTTCATCCAACTCTACCTGTGCAACAGCCTCATTTGCCTCTTCTGGTGGTTGTGCTTCTCATCTTAGTGCCACAAGCAAATTCAGTTAGTGCATGTACTTTCTTGTGCCAAGTTCAATTGGCACAAAAATATTAATTTAAATACAAAACAAGAGTCAAAAATTAATTGCCAGTTGACTGCTACTTCTCCTTTCAATACTGCTTGTTTACTTACCCTCGCTGCCTAATCCCACTTTCCAATTCCTCTACACTACACACTAGATTAACATATTGCTTTCCATGTGGTATCCAGGTAGATTAAATTCTTTCTATAAGACATTAACTAGAACTCTAAAGAAAGCCCTGGAAGAGGCAGGCAGTTCCTTTGCTTAAGGAACCGTATTTCACTCTATTTCACTTTTCAGTTAGTTCCAAGTCTTTAGTTTTCATCCACTCTAAATTTATTGTAAAACATATAAAAACTAACAACTCCGGTTGCCTGGATCACTTTTCCTTTCCCTTTCTCAATAGAGGCATTGTCAACACAACTCACCATTCACATGGGACAGCATCAGACTAAGTAAATTTTACTGTAAAAATGTGCTCCTAGCCCTGCAATTTCACCTACCAGTTCTTTCAGTGTTTTCAGATGGAGATTATGCAGCCTTCCAGTCCCAATGAACGGAGATCTGTGCTTTCACCTAAATGCAACTATCTCATATCACAATTGGTGATGCATAGGAGGATAATCAATCAAAAATAATTTAATTTTTTAAGTCATATTTTCATTGTTGTTAATATTCACTTCACTGATATGGCTGTGTAAACTTTGGCTATTTCATATCTTTCTTAATATTTACTGTCCTTATCCACTGACCGTCTAATATAATCTAAAGAGTACTCCTAAAAAAGTGTTCCAGTGCTTAGATATGGTATTATGCGATTTCTAAAAGACATACTGATAGCATTCATGCTGCCTCTTTAAACTGAACTATTAAACAGAAGCTAAAACTCTTGGTAATGATCCAGAAGAAGGTACCCTGAGAACAAGCCTAATGATTTCTAGTGGAACTAAGAAGTAAAAAAACTTGAAAGGAGTATTTTAGGGGAAAAAAAAAAAAAAAGAAGGACACATGAGGATTTAGTGAATGGACATAATCTGGTGGGTTTAGTTCAAAATTATTTTATATACCACTAAAAAAGGTAATTTTATTGGCGTAGTCGAGTTAAATGACTTATCCCAAGATGATTACTGTCAGGATGACAAGATGTTATGGTCTAGAGTGGAGAGACAGTGAAAGAAGGCATTTGTTTCAAGTGACACAGAGCATTTCTAAAATCTACGTACTATACTTATATTCACCTTGAAAAAATATATCATTACATTGTGGTATTATAGCCAGGACAGCATTTACACTATTACACTGCAATCAACATCTTAGGAAATGGATAGTTTATTGCATGTTCTAAGTAGTCCTATCCTAGCACCCAAACCCAAAAACTACAGAGCTGAAACATTTAGTAGGAGAAAAGATACCTGGTTACTTAATTTAAAGCTTCAGGTCTGCCCTATTATTTTTAACTGAACATGATGAGTTACCAAATCTCTTTGATTCGACATAACAGGCTACAGGGGAAAGCTGCTTGATGGTTCAAACTCAGAAACTGACAAACACTTGTAAACTAAGAAAGAGCAAAACTGAAAGGTAAATCTATTTTCATGCCTGTGTGCAAAATATTGGAAGTTGCATTAACTTCTTTCTCTTCCCACACATGGCTATTTCTTTTTTCATTCAAAATCTTTCTCAAAGGCCAATCATGGATCCCTTACAAGAACCATTATATAGCACATGAAGATTTGTAACCTGGGGTGTTTTTCAGTCACATACCCCAGACAAAGGAACTAGAATAACCACCAAGGAGCTAGACAAAGGGGAATACAAGAGCACGTGTATTGGAATTTTTTGAGGAGTAGACATATTTTCCTTCTGCCACCTAGTGACCAATTTATTCAGATAAGAGCAGTGTTTAAAATGTACCATATTAAATGAAACACCTTCATGACTTTTCCTGCACCTCACAGCAGTAGTATTGCTAATCACATTATTCCCAGAGACAAGCATTATACAAGTCATGTTGTTGTAGGCTCCTTATAGTAAAGCCCTATAATGCTCATCACCAGAAAGCTTGGAGAGCAGAGTTCAGCCTCATTAGAGATAAGACTTTGAAGGCTGCCTTACACAAGCACATCTGGTGAACCTGTCACACACCACGACTCCAATTCCCCATATAGCTGGGAAAACTTTCAATAATTTCACAGATCTTCATGAGATTTTTATAGCTTGCAGGAGGCACACTTGTTATTTTAAATCTTACTGATCCAGGGTAGAGAGATTTCTAAAATGCTTGATCTGTACAGTCACTCAGTGGCACTGCTGAAAATGTGCCTGGCCCTACCTTCTGATGGTAATAAGGGCTAGGACTACTTAATACTTTTCCTATGTATCAGAAAGCAATTTATGATGAAAAAAGTGTATCATCAATGCATTTATGTAACTGTTCTGAACTCCTAGGCATAAATTATATTATGGTACGGCAGAGGCAATGGTGCTGGGGAACTCCATTCATAATGCTTCAAGTCTAGGGAAGGGTACTGGTCTCACTTTTGTACTTTTTACATTAAGATTTTTACAAAAGCCCTGTATTGGATTCCTTTAAGGAAAAAACAAACCCCACCAAACATGTGGGAAAAGGAGCAGGAGGAACTTTATGCCTGAATGACACATAAGAGATTACAGACAAGCCCACGGTTTTCACTCAAAGAATAAGAAACCCTCAGCAACAAGATACTATTCTTCCCTCTCTGTCTTACAACAAGACAGAGCAAACATAACAGAACTTTTCTTAATTTTATGTAATTATTAATAAATATCACCATGATACGTGCTTTGCTCATGGGGGAAAAAGAAGGTACTAAGTTTTCCCATATGGGATTGTTGTGATTTTTTTATTATCTGCATTGAATGACTAAGAGTGCTTCCCTTTGCCACGAGCAACATGAGAACACCTCCCTGCCAAGTTCTTTTCCACTTCTTACCTTGTCATCTCTTCCTCTAGCTCTGGGTTCCCTTTCACGGCTGCCTGAAGATTTCTCCCCCTTGGAGAGAACATGTGCTCTGCCCGCGGGCCCGCGGGGCTGAAGTCCTGGGGAGTCTTTCTTCAAAGGTTTTCCATCTCGGTTGGGACGTTTTATCTGAGGTGGAGCCCTAACAACAGCAACCACAACAAAAACATGCTAAAAACAGTGAAAAAAAGAGCAACATTAAGAAGGAAGAATTCTAATTTACCTTAGTACTTTATTACTAAAGCTGCCTAGACCCTAAGCCTTATTTCCCTATATCTGCAAGTCCAAAACCATGTTTCTGGTTCTGTCTGATAACCCAAGTAAGAAGAAAAAACACAAAAGAAAAAATTAACATTATCATATCAGTACTTCTAATCAGTCTTACAACAAACTAACACCCATGTAACAAAAGAGGAAACAATTTAGTAAAAGTCTTCAAATTGGATATTCCTCTGACTCCAAACCAGGAGATTATATTAGGTTACATTCACATGCACATTGACATTCCTGGTAAAATAAAAATTTTAAAAATAGAGAAATAAAAAAAAAAGGTGGCTAAAAGCTTTGACAGGCCCCAAAACAAAAGACGGAGGATTTTAAACAATCCGCCTACCTCTGACTTCATTCGCCTGTGTGAAAATGTCAAAACATAAAAACTGCCTTGAAAGCAAAAGCAAACAGAGCCAAACTGCAACCACCTATATTTGTGTATGTCACCCACAAAATCAAAGAGTACTCAGCAGTAGAATGAGGAGAAATAATTTGTTTTTAAGACAAAGTGTCGTCATTTTTCTCTAGGGATTGAATTTGAAATACAGAACTAAAATAAACAGCCAGGAATATCACCTAGATTTAATAAGTGTCCACTATTGAATTTTGTACTGATTCTTGTTTTGAGCAACTCAGAATTTAAACCCCAAAAACATTTTTCTGGAATATGCTTTAAATTGAGTACATTTTTAAACACAGTGCTGGATAAAATGGCAATATTTTGCTTTTCATGCATTTTCTTCAAACTTAACTGCATAGAACAGTGTCTGCGTTTCCATAATTATTTGCACAAGATTTAAATTTCAGCTTAAAATAAGCAGATGAACTATTGGGGCTTTACCAATACGGAAAATACAAGAATACATCTTGAACTTCACATAACATTACCATAGAAAATCTGAGTTATTTCTATCACTCACAAGAGTCACCAGCATTAATATAATTTTACACTTATATTCTTAGGGGTTGCTTGTTGTTGTTTTTTTTTTTGAAAAACAAAGATCTTTTTGATAATCATAAAGCACAGAAAGTTATAAATAAACTTGGCATTTCTTTCCGTTAACCAAGACCTCTCATTTCACTTTGCTCCTTTTGCTTATGTGAGAATACACACGTTAAAATTCTCTGCTCTTATGTTAGAAAAATACTGGCATGATAAATGCTATTTTTGTCTGTAAACTGAATCTGTTTCCAACCAGCTCTGTTAAGTTGAAAATAGGTATTTCAGAAAATGCACAAATATCTTAAGAAATCTATTAGCTAACTGAAGTTACCTTAAATATGGTTACAGAAGAGATACACTATGTATAACAGAACATGTTTGGCAATTAAACTAACCAATGGATTAAACACAGGTTGAATTATCTGTAGCTAGGGAGCAATTTCTAACCACCTTCAAGATCCTTCAGTTCCAGCTCCTTATAGACTCTTCAGTCATCTATTAATTCTTTTGCTCAAATAAACTGAAATAGAAAAGTTTTCTCGTTGCACATGAGAACATCAGCTCTGGGTCACCAAAAGCCCATTTACCGCTGCAGCAGACTCTAGTTCCAGGCACTTAGTTACTCCTACCAGAATAAAGGAGTGACTCTCTTGAGAACGTAAGAAATAAATCTGACTGTAGTTTAAGTACTTTTTTCTCAACTAATTAGATTTACTCTTTATTACAAGTGACTAAATTAAATGTAATAAATGAGTAAATTAAATGTGATTTTCATGTTACAAAAGCATTCAAAAACAAATATAAAATTACAGTGACCCACCTTTATTCCACCCACTCTGCTTGAGCCTCTCCTTACCTGTGTTCTGCTGGAACAGGAGGAGGCCAAACAGCTGGATCTCTGAAAGGCTCATCTTGATAGGATACAGAGATATCTGGAGGTCTGTCCATTTTAAAACTCTCCAAAGTGTTGACAATGCTCTTAACTTGTTCATATTCTTCAACTAATTCTTGTCGGACCTTGAGAAATACGTATGTTATTTAAAATTTGTCACAATTCAAACTTTAAGAAGAACCAAACAAACATAGAAAGTACCTCAAGAACATAAGCTAACCTCAAAGGCAGGGACTCCCAAGTCTTCCTACTCACAAACCCCAGACCTACCAGGCTGATAAGACCTTTAACAGCAACATAAACAATTTAATCTCCATTGAGTTCATTTTCCTGCTTGTTAATGTCCCAGCCAGACATGATTGCTAACACAGGGATCACTCTTCCGTAACATGTGCTGATGCTTGGATTTATGTGTGTATGTTGACATGTGTGCACACATACTCTCATACTAGTAATGATGTTGTTGGTAAATCTATAGTAATTTGCTACTATTCTGGCATAAAAGATCTCTGATTACAGTCTCTGATGTGCTAGTTATAAAACCTACCAAATCATTAAAATATAATATTACAAACTAAACTCTGTGAGGAGCACAACATTAGAATGTGTCCAAAGGAGAGCAGCTGAGATGGTGAAAGGGCAAGGGCAAGACTTATGAAGAGCAGCTGAGGTCACTTGACCTGTTCAGCTTGGAGAAGGCTGAGGAGTGGCCTCACAGTTGGCTACACCTTCCTCAAGGTGGGCATCGGAGAGGGAGCTGCTGATCTCCTCTCCCTGGGAACCAAAAATAGAACACAAGAGATGGAACAAAGCTGCATCAGGGCAAGTTCAGATTGGACACTAGGTTCTTCACTGAGAGAGTGGTCAGTCACTGCAACAGGCTGGTCAGTAAAGTAGTCATGGAACCAAGTCTGCCAGAGTTCAAGGAGTGTCTAGACAATGCTCTTAGTCATGTGGCTTAATTTTAGGTAGGAGCAGGGAGTTGGACTCAATGATTTTTATGAGTTCCTTCCATGATTTTATTATATATGTGACTGTCATCAGCAAGATACTAGTATGGAAGAGGGAAAGAGAAGGGTAAATCCCTAAGGCCCTGCACAGATCTTGAAACACTGCAATTGCTTTACAAGAAGCTTTATGAACACCTGTATAAAAAGAGCCTTAAGTACAGGAAGATCTCGATGATTTCACAGGGAAAAGCAGCCTTCTTGCTCATTCCAGATGGGGTAACTGTATCTTCCCAGACACAAGACATCCAGCTCAGGCAGGATTATTCCTGCCCTGTTTTGCTCTCTTTGCTTTCTCATCACACAATTAGTGGACACATTCCCCAATGTGACAGCTTCCAGCTGAGTTACAAATGTGATTGATTACTAACTTGGTTCCTTCAAACTGTCTTCACACACATCCCTCCTGTCCAAAAATAAATCCAGCCAAACAGCTGCTGTGAGGTACAAAGGAATGATACAGCATAAATCCTCCAGGGCACCACTCCACAAGAGACAGCCACTTCCTATCCAGTGCTTCAAGAGTACTGACAGGATTCCTTATATCAGCCTTCCAACACATGCAGAGAAAATGGTGAAAAACAGCTTTCTAGCACTATCAGCCAGTGTGCTGTCATTCACCTCACTGGACCAGAAAGAGGATGGTATCTAAAAACTGAGGGAAAGTGACCACTTGATGCTTTGGAAGATGAAAACAGACTAACATCTGCCAGCCATCTCTTAGCCAGACCTGAGCAGACCAAACTCTGAAATACACACTCTATTTCTTAGTCAATACCTGACAAATTGACCAACAAGGAATCCTCAGCGTGTGGACCTCAAAGGAAACCCAGCCATAAACTCCTAGAGGCTTTAAAGAAACTGACACGGATGAAACACGTGCAGAAAGACTTCCCTGCAGTTGAGAAACCCAGACATGGGCCAAAAAAGGCTGTGCCACAATCATGAATTTGACTGAGCACTGTCTTTCAGTGATCACTGTCACTCTCAAACAACCTAGGAAGGCTGCAAATGGAAAAATCACTGGTTTGGACTCACCCAGTCTCTTTGTTTCTCATCATACCCTTATGTGCCAGAACCCTCAGGAGGCTCCAGTTCAGGTTTTAGGGAGCCTGAAGAAATCTTTTAAGTTATTTATGTTTAAGCAGCTTCAACAGATAGTGTGCCAAGTTAGCAGCTTTCCACTGTCAAACAGAAAAAACTCCCTTCACTTCCCCCATACCACGCTGTGCCCCTGCTCTCCTGGATTCAATTCTGGCATCTCAATACAGTAAGACAGGTTGCTAAAGTGGCAAAAAAACTTGGCCTAGGAGGGTAAAAAGAAAATAAAGGACACTTCTGTTAGCTTAGTAAGCTGGACATGTACACCATACAGTGATCAGGTAAATCCCAGAAAAAAAGAAATTACAGGGGCAGAGGGAGAGAGAAGCTGGCAGAGATGGAGGGAAGACAAGGTAGGGAAGAGCTTGGCTTCTTTAGGCATGGCAGGATGTTAGCTGGATTCAGCTACCACATGAAGCTGCCTGGTCCCCAGAGCCAGGCTCTGGTATGGCAGCCTCCTCTAACAGCCACATCACCTCCTCCACAGAAACAGCATCGTAGGCACTGGGTGATGTTGGAAGGCCCAATAAAAAGCCTTTCAGCCCACAGGATGGCCCCACACAGCTTTGTTTTGACATGTCAATCCCAAGAATTTACAGTAACCAAGCAGAAAACACATCTTATCAGATGGGTATAAAACACAGTGAACAAGAATTGAGTTCACTTATTCTTAGTGGCAGTTCCAAAACCCCTTTCAAGGAGTACCTCTGTATTTCATATTCATGTATCTTTTCCATCACAAGCTTTTATTTGCTATGCTAGAGCTTGAACTTCTATACCCATTGCAGTAAGTGTGGATATTTGTACCTTGGTAAGTACAAATAATGTGCAGGATTATTTTTTTTTTCTGAAGAAAAACTGATCAAGTTTATCTCTATGTGTTTTCCAAACATGAAATTACTACCTGCAATTAGTGTTAGTTATTCAACAAGCTCGATCTTTTAGAAAGTGAAAAATAAAAAGTCCCTGAACCATATCCAAAACAGATACCCTCCAACCCTGTCTGATCCCATGCAGTGAAGGTATGGCTCCTATAATGACATCTATTCATGAGTTACCCAGAGAATGTTTCTTAATTAATCACAATGTAACCTACTAAATGTTAATGAAACAGGCATGAAGCAAAAAAGCAACAAAAGCATAGATCAACTGAAATGTGTTTGAAATAATAAAAAGAAGAATTCACTCTTTATTCTTTAAGCAGGAATGCAGTGCGCCTAATCACCTGCACCAGTGACCATAGGCAGTCAGGGTGCCTTGCTGGCTCAGGGAATCATTGAACTCCTGCCTGAGCTCCAATGGAGGTCCCTGTGCTCTCTGATCTTGTGCAGTGCAGAGCACATGGTTCTAACACGCAGCAGGTTTTGCTTGACAGCCGCTGGCCTTGTCGTAAGCCAGTACTATCTCCCGGGGGCACACTCTGCTGTCATTCTGCAGCTGCTGAACTGCCACTGAAGCAGCTCATTCCTACAAGCCAGCTGTCTAGTAAAAACACTGCAACAGCCAAGAAGCTCTCTCAGAATAAACAGGGAGAATGTCAATACAAGTAAAGTTAAGAGTAGCGGTCATGAGCCTAAACCTATATCTTTAAGTTTTGGTAAGGATGAGTTGCTTCTGATTTTGAATCTTTCCAGTCCCAGCCTGCATTTACATGAATTAATAAGCCTACCTGTCAGCCAAATCTCAAAACACAACAAAGTAACTTTTTCTTTTTTAAATGATATCAGGAAGCCTAGGAGTGAAGATGCAAATGGAGCTACACTCAGCCAACCCACTGCAAGCTGGGAACTCCCTGGATGTAAAACAAGGACAGGTCTTGAGAGTAGGTCACCCTGATATCCCCAAGACAAACCAGTCAAGAGATGATCAATGGCTGTGAATTTTCCATGAAGTCAGGGGAATTCTTATGCTGTCATGTCTCTGCTTTGGTGGGTCCTCAGCATGCATCTTTTGCCCTGTTTAAGTTCTGCAGGGTGTGCCAGATCAGTAACAAAATCCCTCTTCCCTGTTTAGCACTGATTTTGACTTCCCAGAAGCAGTATTGCATCAACTGCAACGGAGCCAGTCAGTTGTTCCCAGTGGAGAAGATATTAAAATGTTCATATTCCTCCTCATCTTAACCATCAGCTCCAAGCAAGAGGAATCTTTATAATCAAGATGTCCAGTTGCAAAGCTGAAGCTGTCTCTCTGTGACATGAAATACAGCCCAACAAGTACTTGCACAGAACATCATTCTGTTCAGACCAACCTGTAGAAATTTGAAAACAATGACATCTACGTGAAGAGAGGAAGATCAAGTGCACTTGGGAATCTGACCCAAAATCCCAACTACTTCTGGTTCACCTGGGCTTTGACATTGCTCAATAAACTACTGGGAAAACGCTCTGTCGTACACAAGGCAACAAAACAGATCCACTAGGTATGAGGTACCTATTCAGGATGGAGCACCCACTGTTGAGAAGAGACCAAACAGGAAGAACAATGTAAGAGATGTAAGTTGGTCAGCTGCACAGCAACACCTGGAACCATTCTTTGATATGTTCCTCAAAGGAACATTTTTATTTTACAAGGCAACATGTCCACAAACACACAAGACTTAGTTCACTGCCTCTGAAGTACCAGTAGGACAAACGCCCTGTTAGTGAGCTGCACACAAACATACAGAAAGGAAAGGAAGGGAATGCTTCATACTGACACTCAGCATCCCAGGAATCCTTCAGAAGGTTCAAGATTATGAATGTGTATGCAGACAGTACATCCCAGAGAAGAACTGGTTTTAGTAACAACCTTCTCCTCTGAGCACTTACCTACATGGACATTCAAGACTAAAAGCTGTACCTACACAGTGTTAGTAATTGCTAAACTCCACCTCCAAAAGGTACCAGTGGTATTATACTCTCCAGATTCCTCAGATGATGGAGAAGCTGAAGGACCTGAAGAACAGTCTAGTTCCATATGCTTGAGGAGACAGAATTTTAGGTAAAAAAATCAACTTCATTAATCCCCTTAACCATGACCTAAGGCCTGCTTTGCTTCTCAAGCCACACTGGTGCGGGAATCTTTTGCTTCTGCACAGTACTGGTACCAAGTGGGTTGGACCTGAAATTTGCTAAACATACATAATGTGTATGCCATAACTCTTTAATGAGAAAGATCTAAAATTAATATCTAGATATTGCTTTAATACTGTGATTGAATGTTACTTATAATCCAACTTCTCAGTTAAATTTTCTTCAGAACAGGTTGTCAGTCAAGACAGCTTCTTGACTGTGACTGACAGTTTGGATGTAGCTGCTGTTTGAGCTAGAAAGTAATGTTAACATCCACATCATCAGACTCCCTCTTAGTCTGTCTCAAGGAGTGAGAAAGCACAACAATTATTTATAAAGAGTGGGTAAAGAAAGCAGGCCATCTCTACAGGTCTCACCAAAACAGGCAAGTTCTGGTCTGGATAAGCTAGTAGTTCAGGGCTGCATCATTTTTTTCCTAAAAACAAATGAGAAGGCAAATAAGCCCTTCATTATTTTTTTTTTTTTTTCCAGTCACACTTCTTACTTTTTGCTGCTTGTCTCCGAGCCTGGCACCAGCAACAGCAAAGGAATATTCTGACAAAGCTCATCTGCCACTACCATGTTGGGAAGTTTCAGAATTAACATGAGTGCACAGCATGACAGACGCTACCCCACCTGCTGCAGATATTATTTGGGACACATCTCTAAAGCATTTATATGATATGGTCAGGGGCCATTCTTCTCTTGCCTAAAGGGGACAATTTCTGAGAAGGTGCCAACTTCAGATCCTCTGCTAGAGAGCCAGCTGCCTTCCCCAGGAAATAAATCCTGGAAACTGTGTTAATGGTCCTTTTGTACTTGATGTTTTTCTCTAATGTGCAGCACACATTCCATCTAGCACGGGCTTCTCTGAAGTAGTTCAAACAACACACAATAACACGAGACTTGAGTGACCTTCACAACACAAGAGCTGTTGAAAGTTTATTGGAAGAATCATTGTCATCAGAGGAATGTTAGATGTGAAGACAATGAAGTGGTTCAGCTGCAGGATGAGGAAATGCTCATTCTCTACCTTCACATCAGCTACAAGTTTGGCAGGAACCAAGGACATGTATTGGGCATAAACATATTGTATCAGCATGGCCTGGAGTGGGAAAAGGCTTGAATATAAGAACTTGAATGTGAATATCTCCTATACAACATCCCACTCAGTACATTACCAGGAAAACTATCTCTTCTGGATGTACATGCACATGCTTTGCAGACAAGCTCTACATAAACAGACTTCTACAGTTCTATGATAAACACCTGCAAATAGTACTGTTACTACAAAGTGATTCTTAAGAGTGTTATATTTATCAGTAGACAAAATACTCTATATTAGTGTCAGAGGTTTCAAACACAAACCCATAAACAAATCATCTGCTGAAATAAAAAGGAAAATTTGATTCTGTTTTTAAGCAATAACATTTAAACATATGATATTTAGAAAAACTCTTACTCAAATTATCTTTTCAGCTACCTACTGCAAAATTGTATCTTTTATAGGAACTGTATTATTCTTTCAAAACATAGTATTTAAGAAATACATTTTGTACCATGGAAAATGGGACCAAAAAATCTAAAGAATATTTAAATACTGAAAGTAATAACTAGATGTCCTTGAGAGTCCTTACATTTCATCTGCAGATTACTTTCATGTCTGAACAGTACTCTGTTTAGCAGAGAGATGGATGTGTGTAAGACTTGAGCTAAGAGTATGACTTGCAGTTTTAGAAACCTGATCCAAATTTGTACACGATAGACTTATAGTTAGCTACTACTGAGACAGCCACTCTAGGGATGCTAACCCACCCACTCACAGTTTAGTTTACTGGACATTAGATGGCCAAAAGATACAAGGGGAAAAGGAAGACCTCAGTTTTTCAGAAGTATGCAATCACAGACAGTATGTACACACAAACAGACCAGGAATTAGACAGACATCCTAAGTGAAAACAACAAAAAACTTGATTCAGTTTGAACAATAGAATTCCTTTTGAATGCACCACGAAAACTATTTTCCCATAATATCAACAAAATATTGTACAACAAATGTTGCCAACATCACTGAAATGTAAGTCCTCTACATCTTATAAGGTTTGGGGGGTATAGTGTGGTTTTCAAATTCAAGTAATAGAATACGGGCAATGTTATTTCACCCTACCTGTTGCCATTTGCCCTTAATTGCTGGATCTCTGATCGACTGGCAATGTCTGTGGATTTGCTGGATGACACCCTGGTAATATACCATAGAAGAGTCATAATTCCCAAGGAGTGCATATTCTCTTCCTTTTTTGGCATTATCACAAATCTCTGCTAAATTCATCTTCACTCAGAAATCTAAAAGAGAACATAATTACCAGAAAAATTAATTTTACATGCTGTAGAATAATTCAGACAGTGACACTTTAGTTTTGTTACTTCTCTCATAGCTGAATTGTGTCTTTCCAACGCTGTTCCCATCTAGTCCTGCTTTTCTACAACCATTTATGTCTGGTGTATCTCTCTACTAGCTTAGGATTTCAGATCATGAATTGTAAGTCTTTTATAGTGATAAAAAACACAACTTCTTTGCTGCCTTTGGCCCCAATCCTATTAAATTAATGCAAGAAAATTAAATGCCCTGCCCACACTGAACCTAACAAACTAAACTTTAATTTGTAGATCACCACAATGTATTAGCAGCCATCAGCCATGAATCACAAATCACACAAGGCATTAAATTGCTTTTTATACTGTTGTATTACATACATACCTAAATGTGCCAACCAGCATCAGGGATGTGTGCGCTTCACACTTTCAAGAGCCCTCACCCTAATGAGATTATGATATGGTTGAATGGCTGCTCTACTATAGACGAAGTTGAGAGTCTCATTCTGTTTAAATATTCTTTCAAAGCACTCCAACATTCATATGCTGACTTGCATTTTTTCATTAAATTTAACATGTCACTTTGGGATTTATGGCAAAGATAGCAATCTAAATTTAACATTCCTTAGAATAGTGATTCCCAAAGTACAACCTTCCCCTAGTCCTCAAATTGCAGCATGATTTTAAGGCAAACCCATAGCCCAGCTTTTCCCAGTAACCATTCAAGAAAGCAATAACCCAGACAATCAGAATTAAGCTGTGTTGTACAGCTAGGTTTGTATTTAAGGTTCAAGATTGAAGCAGTGCCTGCCCTTTTATCTGAATCTCATGTGACCCAAAGTTTAGGTCATCACCACACAAAACTAACATCAGTTCCTTACCCTTGTACTCTGACTCAGTATGTGTGGGGTCCCTGACATCCACCCAGATATAAACCTCTGGAAATGAAACTTTAAAAATTGCAATTCCTAGCTATGCAATGAAGAGTTGCATAGAGCAAGAGGGAGGAGGTCAGCTCTGGAGGGTGGTCCACTCGTTGCATCAAGGGTTTGGCAAGACCAAGGAGGTGAAGAAGAAACCAGGAGGGAGGGGTAGAAACACAGTTCAGGTTACACAGCTGAGAACAGCCCGTGCTACAGTAGCACATACAGAAGGAACAGGTGGTAGCAGACAGAAGCCAGAACAGGGAGAAGCAACCTTTTACATCCTAGTGGGTTATAAAAATATTAGTAGGTTTTATAAACAGACAAGACAAGAGCAAGATAGCATTAAGGAGGATGTGTCTTATGCCTCTGTATTCCCTTGTGCTTAGCAAAATTCAAACCCTCAATAATTTAAACAGACATCCACATGGCATTCATTCTGCCCCTCCCAAAGGTGCCACACTGACAGTCCCAACTGCTGCCTACAGCTGCACACCAGGTCTGCTCCACCACCTCATCACTCCTTCTCCCTGCAACAAAGCCATAGAAACCTGCCACCGTCACTTAAACCCACAGGTCGCACAGCTTGTATGTGGCTGATGACTTTGATAGCAAGAACATGCTGCTACCCTGCAGCTGACACTCCACCAAGCACAGCAGGACATACTGGGGTTTTACTTGTCCTCATGCTGTGCTGCACATTTCAGCTTGCATAGCATTCCAGCTGGCTGTTGTAAACTACTGGGCAGGAGAAAATCTATGGTGGAAAGGGTGACAACGCTAATTTTGTTTCCTGACATAGGCAGGATACATTGTTACCAAGAGCTAGACTGGTAGCAACTAAGACCATTTAATTTTTAGAATACAGAAGATCGTAGCTAATCGGGAAAAAAAAGTGATGTCACTCATATTGCACTGGAAATAGACAAAATTATAGGAACTGAAGATAGGTAATGACCCATTCAGATCTCATGAGTCAACTTACAAATGAACAGAACACCATCTGAGGCAGAATCCATTGACCTGTCTTCAAACATATCCAAGTTAGGATCTGCTTCACAACCAGACTGTCACCGTTAAGAAAAACATTCCTCAAATCTCTGGAGGTTTTCCCCATATGTAGTGAAAGAGAGCAAGTAAATAAAACATTTTTAAGGAGCTGCTGAATTCAGTTCCTAGAAATACATTAAAGAGAACATGTACTTGCTTTACAACCTCTAGTCCCTCCTTATTACAGTTAATTCCCACCCTCTGGGCATATTTAACTCCCTTTGGCCTTAAGAGGGCTGATACTCACATCCAACTCCCCTTACTTCCAGAAGAGTCCCCTGCTCACCAAAGGAGACAACCTCATCATCTCTGTCTGTGGTGGAAGCTGGGTCAATCCACAGGTAGGAGGCAAGACACAGGAGCCATGCAAACATGTGCCCCCTTCAGGACATCGGCTAGACAAGGGAGAGGAGAAGCAGGACACAGAAAAAATGTACATGGTTTTAAAACTGCAGGAGCAAACCAAACAAGACTCTTCCACTTCCTCTAGCTACTGAGAGTTTGGGGGCTTCTAGCCTTATGCTGGTGATGCCAAAGCTTATGCATGAGCTTGATGCCTGGTGTGTCACGCTGGAGAGCTTTTAAAACATTGACGGCACTGAAACTTGGAGCATGGAGGGAGGTTGGTGGATGTACACCTATGTACCTACTGGGTGGCCAATAGCTCCAGAGTTGAGCTGACAACTGAGCCCCTGGATCTTTCCTGTGGATTCAGGCACTTCTGTTTTTCCTTATCACCTACACTAGACACCAAAGCAGGTCATATAGCTTGAAAAGATTAATATAATGTCACCCATTTACCTGAGCCATATTTGAAACAGCAGCTGTAGGCCTAAATCAGTGCTTTCCTGGAATCCCAGGCAGCTCTCTGAGATTCTACCGCTATTTAAAACTAATGCTAAAGATGGTTTAAACAAACTACGCCTCCTGTGCACACCAGTGAAGGTAATGTTAGTTCAGAATTACCAAACCAAATCCAAACAAGTCCAAAATCAAGGAAAAAATATTTTTAGGAAGCAATTATTTCCTGTGTTGTTTTCTGGACATCCCATTCTTCAATGTCAGGGATGGGGAGGGAGGGAGAAGTAACTAGAACTAGGTGAGGACCTTCTCATGTTATGTACTCACTGTTCTATATTGTATTATAGAGTTCATACAACATCAGGGAAGTCCAAGGAACCAGAAATACAAAAATCATAAATAGAGCATTTTGTTGTTTATCTGGAGCTTTGTTTAGATACTTAATTTTCCTACCATAAGACAGCCACATCTTTCAAGTAAATATACAGCCAGGGACAACTGTTGTCAAGTACATTTAGAACAACTTACACACTACTTGTGACACCAGCTTTTCATTCTATCATTGTGTGGTTCTCTCCTGCACTAGACCGTAACAGCTCCACTGCACGTCAAGATATCCTTGGAGATTCCTTAGTTCACGGATCATTGACAAGAAGAGACATTACAGACATTCATGTAGGCATAGCTGCCACACATGGGGTCTTAAACCCACTTGTTAAAAACCCTGCAGCAGCCAGGCTAAAAGGTCACAGGGGATATTAATCTCTATTCTTTGGAGCATAAGCTGAGCTGATCCCTATCTGGGGTCAGAAAAGAATTTTTCTCCCAGAACTAAAGCAATGCACAATTGAGCAAGAGCCAAAAGACAGTCTCTACTTTAACATTAAAGCATTATACACACAAAACACATCCATGGGCAGATACAGTGACTGTGTGAACAGCAGGCAAAAGGGGGACAGCTTGCTTAGCACACTATTCCAAACTTCCGTGCAATACCAGTGGGAATGGATACAGGATTGGATATACTGAGGATTCATCTCTCTCAGCATTACCCCACCACAGCATTACCAGAGGCAGCAAGTACCCTTCCCTGTAGAGGGGTTCTGGAGCAGGGGTTTTCCTTTTGCTTGATCCCGAACATTCACTCTGCAAGTGCCAAAATGGAAGGCATCTGCTATCTTTACATGTCTCTTTTATGCAAGTGTTTTGACATTTTGACAGTGACACCACTGCATCCCATTTTCTCCATAAGCACTTGACCCTTGCACAGGATGGAGGACTCTCATTGAATGAGCTGTTAGACACTTTTGCTTTATTCTCATTGTTTCAATAGTCACATCAAGCCTTATTTAATACCTATCAATCAGACTTTTCTCCAAATCAGATGTTAATTCCTCACTGAGAGGGCTATACCATACCAGGATTTTTCTGGACATGTGTCTTTCTCTGACCAAAATTTTACCCAGGCAAAACAAAAACATCTCACAGCTCCCTGAGATTGCTGGACATATGCTCTCACATCATGGCAGCCCTGCGGTACTGCTGACTGGACAGATGAACATCTGGAAAGGCCTGGACATATGCTGATGAAGATTGGCTACTAATCCGGTTTCTCATTTTCTGTAAGTCAGCCATGCATGGTGTCGGGCATCCCGAAAAGCAATGTAAGAGTTACAACTAATGTCACAAGACAGAGAGTCACGCTGTTAGGCACCATCTTCTGAATACAGTGCTGATGACCGTGGTATGACTGTACATTTTCCACTTCTACAAGGCAGAGCCAGGATGACTCTTTGCCACTGCACAATCCCAGAACAGATCAATTGCCACAGAAAGCAAAGCAAGGAAGAGAATTTCAGTGTTAAGAGGTTTTGATTTTTGGATTTATACACTTTTCATGTGCACCCATTTCCATTATCAGAGTCTAAGTCATAAACTGAAGTTGTTTTTTCCTCAAATTCCTCTTACTGCTTGGAAGCTTTTCGTTACAGTTAATTGAAACCTGCCCTTCTTAGGTTAAGGCCATATTGGTTTTGTAAGCCAGCTTTGACCAGTTCCAAACAGCTCTCTCTCCCTCAATTACATCTTCACTTAAAATAGCACAGTGATCCTCTTTTCAGTCTTCTCTTCAAACTTAAAACTTGTTAAAGTAGAGATGTGTAACAATATGACAATGCTTTACCTGAGAAAGCATAAACAGCAACACTAACTGGAACATTGTCAGAGGAACAAAGAAAGTGTTTTTCTCCGCATGACATGTGACTTCTACTAGAAGCTTACAGAATTGTATTCCGGACTGAAATATAGACTATATTTTTTTATGCGCTTGATAAATTTTATTTGATTTTTAAGAAAAAGACTTTAAAAAATGCAATAATTAAAAGAAATTAAATAAGTCTTTCCTGCTTTATTATAAAGATTATCTCTTTTGTTTTGCTGTTGGGTGCACAACAACTGATCTTCATTTCCAATAATTAACTGTCCCTGTTCAGAAGCAATTGCTGATGCTGCAGACATTACGTTTTCATGACAAAAACAACATTTTAACTGATCATTGTCAGATAAAATACAAACAAACAAAAGGCTTGCCAAGTACCACAGCTAAATCCATCTTTTCCCTGTTAACATGGCTTTGTTTGAACATGCAGCTGTGGTCCCATGGACTGGTGTGAATACTAACAATCATGACCTCACAGGATCACAACTCCTGTTAGAAACATATCTATAAGTAAGGACATGGCTCAGTTCAAGCAGATTTGAATTTAAACTACATGCAAATGAATTAAAGATGAGAAATGTGTTATGCCAGTGCTGTTTTTTACTTTTGCTCTGTGCACTAGCAGTGACAAGGCTGGCTACAATGGCAGCAGCAGCATTAGGGCTGCAGCAGATTATGTTATTTTTCAAAGCAGTACAGACACCAGATAAAACACACACACACGCCGTAGTCCAGGAAACCCAGCACCAAGGGATCTTCTAATTCAGTCAACTGCTTTCTGCTAACTGGTTTTTGGCCTCTTTGCACTGAAACTGTTTTGCAATAGCAGACATGGAGTTAATGGGGAAATGTGTATGGAAGTGGGAAGGAAAAGAAGCATGCATGCAGGCCTCAAACTATTTTTATGTGCATTCTTAACTTGAAACAGAGAGTTACTTTGAGTGCAAGTGAAAAAAAAAAATCTTCAAATGAAGTAAAGACATTCACCACAAGCTAAAAGTAAACACATAAGAAAACACTAAATAGGTGGTCAGAGTTTTAATTAAATATTAATTTAGAGATTTAAATTACAGATTTCATTAGTTTGGTGAACCAAACAGAAAGCATCCTGAAGAATGAAATAACCATTTGCAGAGCCTTTGAAGTACAGTTCTCTGAAGAAGTAGAAAGGAGAATCAGAGACGGATGTGCTATTCCTAAGACTGAGCGTGAACAACATCCTTCTCCAAGCACCTCATACACCACTTTCAGCCACATCCATATGGTCACAGCACCATTATTTGGGGTAATGAGGTGTTCATTAGCAAGGCTGGATATCAAAAAGAGTTAAAACAAATGCTGTGGGGCACTCTGGGGAGTGTAACTCCATACACACACGGGTCAAGCAGTGACAGGCTTGCCAGCTTCTGTTCCATCTTAGTCCTGCTGGACCCAGGCTGGCTCCACACATCTCTCTCCTCTCCAGCACAGTCTCCAGGGCTTCTGACATTAGTATCAAACCCAGGCCCATGTTCAGGTGGGACCAGCCTGAGGTGGATCAGTCAACCCCTCCTCTGACGGGATGCAGGGCCCAGATATCTGAAGGATTCTGCAGAGCCTGTCGGCAGCTCAACAAAGTGGAACTCGGCCCAAGTCAATAATCCTTCTGGTCCTTTGTGGAGCCACTTGCTTCTCTGCTTATCATGTGTCTAAGCACTTCTGGTGGAGCAAACATGCCACCAAAGGCTCCCAAGATGGGTCTGCGCAGAGCCAGCTTGGGTTCACAGCATTTCTTACATCAGGCTCTGTGCCAAGAAAAGCAGTGAAACCTCCAACACCTGGCCCTGGATACAGCACACCCGTGTTCCCCCTGCCCTGCAGCCCGTGAGCCCTACCAGACCACAGCCAGCTCCACAAAGACTCAGTGCTGCTGCTGCTCCATTCCTAGCTCAGCCAATCTGCATCCCAGATAAGCCTTCCATGCATAATTGCAGGTTTAATACACTCACACAGGTGTTTATAACCCTGACTCATACAGTCAGAATTTTGGGCTGAATACTTTTCCACCTTTTGAACCCCACTCTGAATTTGAAAGAATAGGCTCTTTAGGACTAAGAATATGTGTTACTTAAATAGAATAGCATATGTGTTTTTAAATATACATTTATATGCATATTGCTGTTAGTGCACTACAGATTTCTCAGCTCATCCCCAGAAGAATCAGTTGGTTTTTTTTTTTAATTACACAGAAAACCAGATAAAGGACTATCATTGTTTTCTTGTATTCCATTTACTTTTCTCTCTTTTGATTTGAATTAGGTCAGGGCAGGATCTATTTCTCCCCATTACCTACTCAAAAGCCCAAATCTCCATGAGCCAAGCATTCTGGAAGCACACTGCAGCTGCAATGTTCACTTCTGCAGTGTGGCAAATACCAGGAGCTGCAAGGAGGTGAAGCCTATCTAGGATATAGCTGACATAGGGGTGGGGGGAAAAGGAAGAAAAAAAAATCTGCTCAACAATCTGCAATTGCAATTGAGCATTCATTGGAAAGAAACTCATCTCTGTGAAATGTGAAACTGTAGTAGGAATAGACATTCAATATTCATATAAAAGGGAGTACTAATGCACTGATGCTTTTAAGATACAGATTTTCAGGAAGACAAAATGACGCTCCCTTATATACCAATCATAAACACGTGTATTTTAAGTATGATATGTACAGAAACTGTAATTTCATTCCCCCTCATGGCTGTTAGAGAATACAAGATAAAGAATAACACTAGAACTGTCAGGAGAGGAAATGGAGAGACAAAAGGGACAAATGCCAATACTGACATCATGACAGAATTTTTTTGGGAAAAAATATAAATGTAGCAGAATAATTTTTTAAAAAGTAACACTGTGTCCAGACCACCTAGTGCAACAAGCTCAACAGAGCCTAAGTGTGGTAGGAGACGTGAAACTGGAAACCATAGGCGCAAACTGGTTGGGAACACTTTCCAGGGCTCCCTCTGACCATTGCCTCCTTCGTACCCATTCCCAGCCTCCGGTCAGCTCTGCCTTCTGCACAGCTCTCTCAGTCCATCTGATCCACCACTCCTCCAGCACATCTCTCCCCTTCCATCCATCCACCTATGTTCCCATGTGCCCCTTTCCTTGTATTCTTTCTCTCCCCCATCGGCATCCAGATGCCCCCCAACCCATCCTCCCCTCACCGCAGGCACCCAACCCCCCCTTTCACTCCCCTGCCCTGCGCCTCCCCTCTGCAGCCGCACCGCCCCTGCGCCCACCCCCCCGCCCCCAGCCGGCCCTGCCGCACTGCCCCTCCCTGCAGCCCCTCCCGCCCCGGCAGCGGCACAGGGGCTTCTCTGTCTCGCTGTTCCGGAGGGAAGAGCCGCCTCGGTGCTCTCGTTCAGAGGGAGCCTCCCGTCCCCTCAGGGGTCCCTTTCGCAGCACACATCTCCCCCCTCCGCCCAGAGTGCTGGGGGCTGTAGTTCCCTTCCGCCGCCTCTCCCGGCAGCCCCCAGTGCCCGGCGGGGGGGGCGCGGACTACACTTCCCGGCACGCTCCGCGAGAGATGGGGGGGCGCCCCCGCCCTGCTCCAGCCTCTATCGCTGGTTTCCCCCCCATCCCCGCCGCCTCTGTCAGCGTGGCGGGGTCCGAGCCGCCGCCTGCCGCGGGCAGCAGTGCCGTGAGGGGCTGCCCCGTTCCCGGGCCCTGCCGTTACCTGGGAGAGCCGGGGGTGCGTGTCCGCGGGCGGGAGCGGCGCGGGGAGGGGGCGCAGCGCTGCTGCTCTGTCAGACCGGGGCCGGGGGGGGGAGAGGCGCGGGGGGGCGGGCGGGGAAGGGGGTGCGCGCGCGCGGCGACGGGCGGTTGCCATGGCGGCGGCGGCGGGCCCGGGGAGGGGACGGCACCGCCGCTCCGGCCTCCGGAGCGCCTCCGCCTCGTCCTGGCGGCGGGGGAAAGGGATTTTCCTAAAGGAAAACCCCGCGGCACCTCCGGCGATGGCCGCGGGCGCGGCCGCCCGGCCCGCGTTTGGCAGCCTTCGGCAGGGCTCCGCGCCGAGCATCCCGGGCGGAGGCGGGCGGAGAGGGTCCTGCTCGCTGCGGGAGCTGGAGCGGCGCGGTGCCCGGCCGGGCAGGAGGCAGCGGGTGCCGGGGCCAAGCGCCCCGGCTGGCTGCTGAGCGCCGGCCGTGCTCTGCGCTGTGCCGCGCCAGGGCTCGGGTCGGGGAGGCTGAAAACAGCCACAGGACGCGTCAGGCTGGAAGGGACCACCGGGGGCCATCTGGTCCAAAATCCCTGCTCAAGCAGGGCCATCCCAGAGCACACGGCACAGGATTGCGTCCAAGACAGTTCTTGAGTATCTCCAGTGAGGGAGGCTCCACAACCTCTCTGGGCAATCTGTCCCATTGCATAGTAAATCTGTCATTGCCTAGTAAAGAAGTCCTTCCTCATGTACAGCTGGAACTTCCTGTGCATCACTTTTTGCCCTTGCGTCGTGTCCTTGTAGTTGGAACCACCGAGAAGAGCTCTGAATACATATCATAGCTCATTCACAGTCTGAATGCAAACCTCATGTGCCTCCACCTCATCTGTGGGAGTGTCTAGGAAATGCAGAGCATACGTTTGTCCTGCGTGGGCACGCAGAAGGGCACTGGACCATCTTTAGCAGTTTAATATGCTTTTATAGTACTGTAAAGGAACAGATTTAGGGATTTGCCCTGTTCCTGGACTAAAGTGGTATTTGGCGATCAGAGGCAGCCTCACAGGGTGGCACCACCCAGCTTGTGTCATCTCCTATGACATCTCCTATGTGTCATTCCTGTGAATGTTGCCTAGCGTTTCTGAAACGTGCAGCTCACAGTTAATACTAGCAGCCTGGTCCTGCAAGGGGAGCCATGCAGTTATAAACCTTTCTAAGGATGTAATTTCACAGTTAATGCAAGACAGCCTGTGTCTTTATTGCCACCAAAAGGGGCAGTCCTACATTCCTCTCTGATCACGGCTATGCCTTCCTGTTTGTTATTTACACTGCAGTAACCGTGATGGTGCCATCTGGCAAGGCAAGCCTTGGATCTGATCTGGTGGAGAGCCAGTTTTGCTCCTCCAAAAAATTAAGTGAGTTCAGCTGGACAAAGTTCTCGATTTAGCTGAGTCTGTAGAGCTGCTGCAGGCACCAGGAAGGCAGAGGAGATGCGGAGGCAGGAGCAGCCCATCGAAATCCCCAGTGGATCTGAGCTGTGTTTCTGTGTGCAGCTGCAGAACTGCAGTGAGCCCTTACTGCTGAAACTGCCTTGTGACAGCCCTGAGAGTGTCTCGTTGATGATGATCTTGTGATCACATCTGATACTAGTACATTATTTCACTGGAAAATTTCTGCTGTAGCTACTTTAAGGCAGCAGCATGAGGTTGCATCTCACAATAAGGTTCTCAGAAATGCTAACTGACACAAGTGAAAGAGCAGGGATTGAAACTAAAAGCTCAGTATGCCTCTTAAACAATACAGCATGCGTGAATGTGTCGCTCATATATTCACAGATCTTGCTTCCCTCAAAATCATGTGGAGATTCTTATGTCTTTTTGAGAATTTTGGAACCGGGGCCAAAATCGTGATGAATTCATAACAGCTGCAACTCTGGCTTCCCCCTTCTCCAGATTTCTTCAAACTTGCCTGCCCATGACATCAATTCCTGCTGGTTTTTCACATACGCAAAAGCATAGATGCTGTGCAGACCTTACAGAGTTCAGCATTTCTAGGGGAGCGCAGATGATAAGCAGCTTCATCCCAGCACTTCCATAATATCCCTTCCCATGAGACTATGTACCTCTTACCACATTAGACAACACATTAAGTGCTTTATCTGAGGATTTTATCCCCCAGCTAGGAAATTGTGACCCAGAGAAGGTTGGTTATTTGGGCATAATATCTATTTGTCTGGTTGGGGATTTTTAACCCCATCCCTTTTTCTAGTAACAATTGAGTCGAGCAGGGCTGCTTCCTAGTGGCAGAGAGTCCTCATGCTACAGCTGACCTCCCTTTTGAAAAGCAGTTGTTCAACACCAGAACAATATCAGTGTCAATCTATTTTGACCACTCTGAGGGAGGGTTTGGTAAGCATGCGTCTCCATGGTTTGCCAAGATATACTATGACTGTGTCAGCAGGAAGAACGGTGTCTTCACGTTCCTGGCCAGGCACACTAGGTATGTAGGGTAATTTGTGTTGGAGGGGACCTCAGAAGGTCATCTAGTCCAGCTAGACAATCGGAAGTTCATAAACCTCTTAGTAAGCCATAAGAATGATAACTGTAAGTGTGAAATTTCTTAGTCTTTCCTATTGCTGGTCAAATTTGAGCAAATCTGGCTGGACTGCTGCAAAAAACACTGCTTCCCTGACCTCCTTACTGAAAGTTCCTGACTCCACAGCAGTCCCTGGATTGGAAAACACTAATGTTTCTAAGCCATTTTAATGCAAAATATGATGTTAAAGTCATCTTACAAGCAGTTTAGGCTAAACTTACTGAACCTTGTGTTGGAGCAGCTGAGACTAGTGTGTGTGTCTTATTCCACTGACTGCTGCAGTAATTTCAGGCAAAGAGGAGGTAGGAAATTGCTGGGAGGGGAGGTGACACCTTAAGCCACTGAAGCTTATTCTACTCTGAGCATATTCTCATGGCTTACAACTTCTTTATTTTTTTTTGATGGAAGCTATAAACCTAGCAGTTCTGGATAAGACATGATCTTGGTGGGTGTCAGCGAGTGTGGTTAGGCAGGATCCAGCTGTGTTGCTGGAGGAGAGCATTACTCACAGCCAGACCCCAGAGACTTATCATGGCTCTTTCCAGCAATCTGCAAATCTGCCAGCAGAGCTGATTGTGTGCCCGCTCACTCTGATTTATTCTAGTCAGTTCAATCAGAAGCTGATATAAATTAATGTAGCTCTTTTGCCATGAACATTAGATTTGGTTCAGAAGTGTTTCTTCAGCTAGAGTAATTGCAGACACTGTCAGAAAAGTTTAAAGTTGTGCACTCTTAGAGTCTCTGACAGATTAACAAAACTGGTTTCTGAATTGATTTGGTTATCATTACATAAATTCCATTGACTAGAGGGCTGGCACAAGCTTTTAGCACAAAGTAGCAGAGAGCTTAATTTGTAACCTCCTCCCACCCACAAAGTTCTGCAAGGAGAAGGTTGAAATCATGTGAGAAGTCTATGAATTATGAACTGCCCTCTGTTTCTGTCTCCTGTTCCCCTTGCAATTATATTTAACTAGACTACAGGAATTATTGTGCCTTCATAATAAGTTTTAATGCTCAGATGCAAACATAACTCTTTACCAAAGGTCTTACAGGCTGTATGGAGAAATGCTGTAATAATGAAAAGAGAAAAACAATAGACAAGCAATAGGGAGAAGAAAGTGCATGTTACATATTCATGGACATTAACCTTCCAAGGGAAGTTATGCGCAAATCAGTAAAGGCATCAGTAGACTGTTAATTTTCATACACATATAGTAATTGTTCTTCTGCATAGATATTTTTATGGAATGATATTTACCATTGTGACACATCCACCAATTTTTCTCCTAGGGGAGAACCTTAGAGTCTGAACCCTGAGAAAGATTTAGTCAAAATCCTTCCCACAAGGCACACATCTCAAAGTGCTGTGAATTGTTAATAGAAAACAGTGTTAGGGAAAGCAGTTGATTTCCAAATGGGATTTCAATTAAGCCAGAAGGTGAGAGGTGGAATAGACAAGGATTTCTCTATTTATCTGGTCAGTGTAGACATCTGTCTTGTAGACTTTTGCCTCTGAATTAAGACTTTGGGGATACAATTCCTGCTTCAACCAAGGTGGATTGTGCCCTGAATGTGCTTAATTTTTTCCAGTGCTTATAGCAGACTCATCTGATCAACATAAATATAAGTGTTTGCACAGTAGATGTCTAAAGGTAGGTGACAGGAGTCCCACCCAATATGTTGCACTGTTAGAGCCCTAGAGAAGGAAAGCTGTCATGGCAGTTCTGAGTAGGTTGATTAAAATGATGAAGAACAGGCCAGTGTCACATTAATGGAAAGCACAGATGGAAGAGAAGACAGATCTTTGAGATGAGTTGAAACAAGCCCACAGTACACTGGAAAAACACCCCACCTGTTCTGCTTTGAGTCTGTGGACAGAAATTAGAAAAATAAACAGGAACTAGGATATTGTGTTTCTTTTATGTATATGCTTAACATGCAGAAGCATTTTGCTTATGTTGGAGTATTACCTTTTGGGGAAGGAATAATAAAGGAGCTTACAGCAGTCAAAGAGAGAGGAAACTTGGACAGAAACCTCAAAGAAAGTAGTCATGCCCAAGGAGCTAAATGTCAGCAACTGTTAAGTAAAAACCTGGACCAGGAAAGAAAATTTATTCACACCATCTCGACTTTGTGGCAGACCACTAGATAGTAACAAGTGGCAAAGTTCCCTTAATCTGTCTGCTGGGGTTGACAGAGAAAATCTCTCATGATGTGCTTTTGTTTGGTGGTACAACTCTTTTATGGTAAAGTGTGAAGTTTAAGCTGTTTTTTAAAGATGTGACATTCTGGAGTTGCACTGTCTGTCCCACTACAGTAAGTTTGAGCCTCACTGCACATTTTCTACCACATTTGCAGAAGGATGGAGGTCTAACCGGGTTCCTTTTAGTTTTGTAGTAAGTAGCACAATAGAAAGGATACACTCAGCTGGTGCTTCTGCTGAGCACAAGGCAGGCAGAACTCAGCTGCTCT